TACATACATACATACATACATACATACATACATACATACATACATACATACATACATACATACATACATACATACATACATACATACATACATACATACATACATACATACATACATCTATACCACGCGCGCGCGCGCGCGCACACACACCATACATACATATATGTATGAATGTATGTATGATTTAATAAATTTTTGCGCAATTTCATTTGCCAATGTTCAAGTTAGATTTCTCTAACGAAAGGATTTTCTATTCATTGAGTAGATTCATTTGGTATATTTTGTTTAGCATTAAATTTTTGTATCAATTTTAATATGTGATCATATAAAAGAGTTTTTGCATCAATTGCCCAAAGGAAATCTACATGATTAAAGAATTTATATGGTACTTTCTCAGTTAGCAGAACATTTGGCAATCGTTTACTAAGTTCCAAGGTATTCTGAAAATAAAAAATATAAAGAAAGAACATTATTACTAATGAAATGATTTAATTGTATGAAAATAGGTCATCTCCAATCAATGTGAATACACTGTTTTTCTTTTCATTTTGAATAGTACTCAATTAGATTGTGTGTTTCAACAATTATATAATCATTGTTTTGTTATAATTGTGTTAATTGTGTTTTATTTTTTATTTCTATCAGGCAATCAAAAATTAAAAGAATCGTTATTACCTCTTCTGTAGTAACCATATCATTAGCAGCATAAAATAAATTATCGGAGTTGTAATCTTTTTGAGATCGTAACTTGGAGGTGTTTTTTGTTTATATCGTTTATAATTTTCAGTTATTCCATAATCATAGTTTCGAAAATCATCTATAATTGTGATATCAATTGTATACCTATATAAATATGATCTATATATCCAAAATTTAGAAGTACATTTAAAGAAAAAATATCAAAGATATTAAATAATATACATACACATATAATTATACATTTATACAATATACATTTATACATACACATATAATTGTGAAATAATTTGCAGAAAAATGTTAATTGAAATTTCTCAATAATATTTTACCCTTTAACAATGGAAATATTTTACTGGAACAATTAAAATGTTGTTTTATATGAAAGGAAATACTCACTCACAAGACTATTTTGATAATAATGATCTAAGGTATGTAGAGAAGTACCAGCTGGACAATGAGCAATTAACTTTGGTAAGAGTGTCTACAATAAAAATAATTTATACAGATAATAAAGTCGGAATATTTAATTAGAAAAAGAAAATAAATAACATCGTTATAGTTGATGTATATAATTGTGAAGAATGAACAAATCCATTAATATAAAAGCCATTTACAAACGTTATTGTATTATTTATGATATTATGTCCTCTTATATAATAATAATCTTATATAACTTGCAGTATTAAGTTGCGCTGGATCAGAACCGACGAGTAGAAATAGTATAGTAATGCAAATAGACTGAGTCATTGCATTATCATTACATAACATTCTTGCTGTCATAACAGTGATTAAAGATTGTGGAAAAACATCATATATTTCACGCTTTTCTAAAATTTCCTGGAACATATTAAATAAACATCAAAGTATTAACTTACAATATTTTCAACACATTACGCATAAAATTAATGACTTTAATCTTTGACTATATCTTAAAAATGATTGCAATGAAATGTAGATTTTGGTATTTACCTTTATTACTGGAGCAAGATAAATCAATTCGTTAATTGTAGGAGTTTTCTTAATATTAAAAGCAACTGGAGCCAGACAAATAGCCATTTTTATTTTTGCATTGTATTCCGGTTTCATTGACAAAAGAGTGAATAATGAAGTAGTTCCCATGGAATGACCGATATAATATAAATCGTTTTGTTTTGTATAATTAAAGATGTAATCGAACATCGCCGGCAAATCTCTTGTTCCTATCTCATGAAAACTAAAAATCAAAAATATAATATATTTTAAAAAATTTATTTGCTCTTTTTTTCTTTTGGCCGTAACATCTACCTGTATTGCC